ACTCGGTTATATAATTCTAATAGAATATTTTTAGATGATCTACTTAAATTACTTAGCATCGCGTAACAAACCTGATCTTTTCCTGGAGCTGACAATTTATATTTTTTAAGTGCCCTGTTCAGCTCTGTTATTGTAAACAGCATGTTCAGTGAATCATTTGTGTTTTCTATTTGTTCCAATACCTCTTTGTTTTCTAAAATTGTATTTTTTCTTCCTTTTTTCCCTTCTTCACTAATATTTTCAGATCTATGAATTTTAACGAAAGTATTTACCAACATTTCTGCCTTTTCTCTGTCTTTCACTGCTGTTAACTCTCCATCATTTAGTATTGGGTATCCATTCACTCTTTTAATCCCATTCATCCTTTTGATCATTGTCCATACCTTAGAAATGTCTGTCTCCCTCCCTACTGAATTACAAAAACTTCTCCAATAATCTCTCTTTGCAGTTTTAATAGTTCTTCTTACATTTGCTTGCAGTTTCTTGTACTCATTCAGATTCTGAAAGTTATGATTTCTTTTTAATAATTTGAAAGCTTTATTTCGGTTCTTAATTGCTTTAGTACATTCTGTTGTCCACCATGGTACCAACTTTCTTTCCCTTTTCCCTCCTTTCTTCCTTATAGCCTGATTGGCTGCTTCAAGGATAGCGTTACATACAGAAGAATTAAAGTTGTCAATACTACCACTTATATCTACATTTTGCATTTTTATTTCACTACTATTCTGATAAGTTTTCCAATCTGCAGATCTAAAACACCATTTTTCCATCCCATTTATACAATATTTTTCTATTTGTAACTTTATTTCAGTCATGATAGGGTGATGATCACTTCCTATAGTTGTTTTATTGATTACTTGCCATAAACAAACACCTGCTAGAGAATCTGAAACTAATGTTAAATCAATTGCTGACATTGTATTATCTCTAAAATTAATTCTAGTTCCACTCCCATCATTCAAACATACCAAGTTTGTAGCATCCATTATTTCTTCAGTTATAGCTCCATTTTGATCATTATGATCACTCCATAATAAGTTATGCCCATTAAAGTCCCCACACCAAATCACCTTACCCTCTAAATATGTCCCAAGTTCCTCCATTAAGTCTAATGTAAGTTTTTTACATGGATTATAAAAATTTATTATTTTAAATTGTCCATTTATTGTCCAGATTTCAATAACAATATATTCTAACTCTCTTCCTTTAGCTAAAACTCTAAATTGAATCCCCTGTTTAATGAATGTTATACGCCCTCCTCCAGATCCTCCCTCTCTGTCTCTTCTAATGTTTTCATATCCATTTATAACAAAATCAAGGTTTGGTTTAAGCCAAGTTTCCTGAATGCATATAATATCTATATGTTCTTTGAATTCTTTGATAAATCCTTTAAACTCCTGCCCATTTGATATTAGACTTCTAGCGTTCCACTGTAAGATGATCAGTTTGTTCTGTCTTCTGGTTCTCCTGTCTTCCCTTCTGCTCCCAGTCTCTTATTTATGTGCTCCCAGTCTCTTATTTATGGGCTCCCAGTGTCTTATTTATGGGCTCCCAGGATATATCCTTTATACCAAAAAACCTCTCTGCCCCTTTCACAATTATTTTGATTTTTTCTGTTTTGTGTTTTACTTGCTCTGTACAATTAATAACATATGCAATGAACAACATGATCTTTTCTACTGTCAGTTCTGTGTCAGGTCCAGTCTGCCTTTGTTCTGGTGTTGGTTTTGGCTGAACTTTACCTGGCACCTCTTTTGGCTTCTTCACTCTCTGAACAGCTTCTGCATAACTTATATTATTAGTGACTTTGACTTGTTCGATTTCCACTGCTCTTTTCCTGATTTCACAGCCTCCATAAGTGACTCTGTGTTGTCCTCCACAATTACAACAAGTATCCTTTCCATTTTTACACTCCTCATATCTATGTTCCCCTCCACACTTTGGACATCTTTGTTTCCCCCTACATGCTGCTGCGATGTGTCCGTACCTCTGGCATTTATAACACCTGAGAGGAGGAGGGATGTACGGCCTAACAGGGAAGCACATACATCCTACTTTGATCCTTTCAGGGAGAACAGCTGCTTGAAACTCCAACATCACTGACAGACTTTCCTTTCTTTCACCTTCAACTGTTCTCATCAATCTTCTAATTTTGCTGACTTCACCTCCATAAATGCTGTGTCTAAATTTCTCCAGATCTTCTCCCACCAGAATACCTGTGATCACTCCTCTAGCTACCTTAGTCTCTCCCAAAATCTTGATCTCACTCACTACTTTTTTACAGATACTCTGTTTTCATCTCTTTGTTTTTCTGCTCTTCATTTCTCACTGTTATCAACAGGTTCCCGTCTCTAAGAGTTTTAGCAAGTGTCAGCTCTCCAAACTTCCTCTTTAATTCTTTTGACAGCACTAACGGACTTAATTGAATTCCTTCATCCTCCTTTCTAAACTTTATGATCAATTTGGATTCTTC